ACCCCTCATTTCTTTATATTTTGGTCAGGAAATGGGTGCAGTATTTTAACTGAAACGTGTACATATAGACATGAAAATGCAGTATATAAGGCAAGAACAGAGTTTGTACAACTCTAATGAGCCTGAACGTCAATATTTGGTTTGAAAACTTTTATTCTTGAACACAGCCTGAACCCTCTTAGGCAGCTTTCTTGTAATTTCCTTTTTACCTTCAGGGTGGACATCCTCTGTGTTGTTGCTACACTCCGAGGAAAGAGCTTCCCCATCTATGTTTGCCGTAGTGACAGCCTCGGCAGCTCCCTGTTCTGTGGGCTTCTCCAACCTGAAAGACAAGAAAAAAACATTTCTGTTTAGCAAAGTTTCACCATTTTTTTAATGCTATGAATTTCAAATAACTGAGTAAGAAAAAGAACACATTTATAAATTTGTTTTTTGCCTTCTTAAAACTGGTGAGAGGAAAAGAACAAAACCCATTTCTTTCCTTTTTTTGGTCAAATACAAGAAATTACATTTTCCAGAAATAGAGAGTGCAGTTTTCTAATACAGCTAGCAGCAATAAACAGGCTTTCCCCACCATTCTGTCCTCTTTTTCTTCACTGCAGGTTCTTCAAGTTGCTCCTCAGATAGTTGTGTTGGCCCATCCAGTCCTCCCGTAGCACCATCTGTGGGTGAAAAACACAAACCAAAGGGAAAAAGAAAATATTTAACTCTGATATTCTTCAAGTACTTTGTACAAAAAGTTTAAATTCACATAGCATTTAGCTAACACTATAACTCAGCTTCCATCCTAACTAATTACTATGTTTCTGATATGGGTGAATTGCAGCTCTACCTGCTTGAGTCTTGCCATTAGCTCCAGTGGTACTGCTAGCTGCTGCTGGTTGCTCATCTGAGCTCCCTGCTGCCATCTGCTCACTGTCCCGCTTACGATCTGGCTGTCGATTTGCAGCATCCTACTCACAGAGACAGATCACATGAACACTAGAAAATAATGATCCATCGTAGCCGAAAAACTTTATCTACGCAGTTTTTTTGAGGGATACATTCCTGAAACATTATGTAAATATGTGCACTGACTCTATAGTGCACCTACTTATTTGTTGAGAATAAATGGAAATCCTGATTTTTATCATTTGTCATACATTCACACTGCTTACAACAAAGATAATTACACTAACACAAATAATCAAAAACATGCCGTACTGTTCAAGCCTGATCACTCGGATGGTAATCTGAGCTCACTCAAAAACCCACACAATGGACACAGTAACTGCAATAGCGCTCTTATAAATACCGCGGAAGACGAAGAAGAGGAGGCAGAGGATGCTGAGGAGGTGGTGGTGGTGTTGTTGTTGTTGAAGTAGCGGGGATGTGGGTGGAAGGGTCGTGCAGCTGGAAAACCCATGATGGGAGACTTGATAGCCATGCCCATGGGAACCGGCCCGAGCAGGGACGACCTGTTCCCTGCTGTGAAGAACTGCCGAAACTGCTGCCCACCCATCCCAAAGCCCCGCATGTTACCTGCACGCAAGTACAACAAGAAAGGAAATTATTATAAGGGCTTGCTTTACATAAAAAACAATATACATGAAAATGTCACGTGACATCTTCTGCTCTTTGAGATTTCCAGGTATTGCCATTTTTATGCTATTCACTCACAACGTACCCTGCATCTGCTGCATCAGTAAAGCACCCTGCAGCATGGGATTGGGGGCGATGATGGTCGTCTGCGAGGCATGGCTCAGGTTGACCATCCGGGGAGGGGGTGCTGTCTGGGGGGCAACAGGAATGGTTCTAGGAAAGAAATACACACAAGAAAGTAACATGTCTTATTATTTAAAAATTCACATCCTCACTCAAATCTGCAGCTAAAGGCAGAGTGTCTGGGGTAAATGACAATTTATTTTACATGCATCCATCATACTAAAGCTGGCTTGACAGATTTTGCTGCCACCTTCGCTTATTCTCAGAATAAAGATGAGGAAAGAGAAGAAAATATTGTAGTTTAAGTGAGGATTAAAAACGGAGAAATAAAAACCTTCCTTCTAAAAAAGGTTGGGACCAAAAAAA